TTTTTAAAATAATGTGGAGTGATCACGGCTATAAGATGGCGGCACCTGAACACCAATAAAAAATCGTGTTTATTATATTCAGGTTTAAAAAACAAAAGAAAACAAAGATGAAAAATACAAAATATTAACAAATGAAGATTTTAATATTTACAACAATACCCAATTGATTTGACCATGTTATGCGCTTTGTTTTTTACTTTTTTAAAAAAATACCTTTATTGTAAATGAAATATTTGATGTTTTAATTCAAAAATTTCCTTATTCAATACCCATGAAAAACGAAAGCTCACACTATTAACTAACGGCGTAGATTAAGGATTATTTCTTATAGAGGGCGCTACTTGGTTAATCATACACATAACGATAAAGTACACTTCGGCCTAAACTTTGTCATGAAAATCACGTTTTCCACACATTGTTAAGCCTTTGTGGTTTTCTATAATTCACCACTTTCGGCGCTGAGATCGTAACTTCCAATGTTCGTCTTCATTATGCGAAAACCATGAGTGATAGTTGTTTAAAAAACAACAAACGTATCGAACATTTTCACCATTAAAGTTAACTCCCCTCCCCTGATAACGCTGAAATGCCAGTGGGAGGGGACATTGCCTTTTGTGTAGCTTTGTGCTTAATAACAAACATACTGTTCAAACTCAAAAAAGGTTCTCTAGCTAATTAATTTATGTAATTTTCAACTAAAACTATTTCTATTAACTCCACTCCGTAAAAAACCAACCTGCTACAAGTAACTGCAACAACACCTTCCATTGGCGAGGTGTTGTTGAGGCCCTATGGTCCACTGGGAGTTTACAGGAATTAAAAAAAAAAGAAAAAAAAGACGCGTATTGGATTTTAAAGTGTATGTTTATAATTAAGCACAAAGCTACACAATGGGCTATCTGTGCTCTGTTCACCACGGGTATCGAAACCCGAATTATAGCGTTGTAAGTCCGCAGACATACCGCTGTGCCACTGGGGAGCTGTTTTAAAAAAAAAAGACCACTCTGCCTGATTTAAAAACAAAATGTTGTAGATTTATGAAATCAACGAATGGCTAAAACAATCACAAGCAATTACCTTCATATTCAATTGTAATTATAGATTTGAAGGAAAATTCTAAAGTTTCCCCCATTTCAGTGTGTGGACTCTTGCATTCTGTTATTTTTTACTTTACTTATCAATTACATACCGATATTCTGTTTTATTTTCTAATTTATTTATATTCTTTTCATGTTGAAAACACAAAACATTCTTTTGTGTGTGTGTGTGTGTGTGATTATAGAATAAAGTAAGAAAAAAATAAACTTGCTTTCATATTTTGTTTTGTAAGACATTTTCCACCGCAGAGTTATGTTTTCGTGAAGGTCTTCTTCTTTCGAATCTCATTAGTATATTTGATTGATTAGTGAATGGTTGAGTACAACAGAACCTTTGGTTTCTTTAAAACCAAACTCACTATGTGGCAACTGACAAGGCTGTTTGCACAATTTAGATAACCACCTGTCTAACACCGTACTTTAAGTGTTACAACCACTGTATAACACCGTTTTTTAAGTATTGCAACCGCTGTCTAACACCGTACTTTAAGTGTTACAACAGCTGTTTAATACCGTATTTAAAGTGTTACAACCGCTGTCTAACACCGTACTTTAAGTGTTACAACCACTGTCTAACACAGTACCTTAAGTGTTACAACCGCTGTCTAACATCGTACTTTAAGTGTTACAACCGCTGTCTAACACCGTGCCTTATGTGTTACAACCGCTGTCTAACACCGTACCTTAAGTGTTACAACCGCTGTGTAACATCGTACTTTAAGTGTTACAACCGCTGTCTAACACCGTGCCTTATGTGTTACAACCGCTGTCTAACACCGTACCTTAAGTGTTACAACCGCTGTGTAACGTCGTACTTTAAGTGTTGTTTTAACGTAAGTTTTCTAAACAGATAAAATGAAAATCGACTTGCAAAATGTTAAGAAATATTGAAATCAGCATTGTTAAGCCTAAATACTGCATGTAAAACAAAACAAGAAAAATATTGAAATCAGTATTGTTAAGCCTAAATACTGCATGTAAAACAAAACAAGAAAAATATTGAAATCAGTATTGTTAAGCCTAAATACTGCATGCAAAACAAAACAAGAAAAATATTAAAAATGTTGAAGAAATACACCCAGGGAAAGTATATTGTCACAAGACTTTTTTTTCTTGGTTGGTGTTGACTAACTTCCTTCCCTGTAGTCTATCTCTTTGAAGCTAGGGAAGCCCTCATGTAGCTTTGCGCGAAATTCAAAAACAAACATAACGTAACACTTGGATCTTGTTGGTGAAATTAAACTGGATATTATCGAGTGCAAAACTTATTAACATATTGCAACATTTTAATTAAAATGAAGTATAAAAGGATAAAGCAACCTTTAAAGAATCATTACTACAATTGTGGCGGAAGGTGTTGTTCACAGGCACTTTTCTTCTAGTAATATATTACTAAGTTAAGCTTATATCACTTTGGTTCAATCTTTACGCGAATCTCCGCTGAACTGGAAGCCATATTGGAAAGAACAGAAAAGGAGCTTTCACTACGAGACTTCTCCTAGATGGGATCTAAGCATTTACACCACATCATGATAACAGAGATTAATTATTGGCTAAGATCAATAAATCGATAAAATTGCACCTGTATTCAACAATATAAGGTAAATTAGCGATATTTTTCTCAAAATAATTTCTTCTAGGGGGTAAGGAGTGTCTTGTTTTATTAAGAAAAAAAAGGAAATTCATAAATATTAAGAATGGGCTAAAATCGACCCAAAGTCTAAAATTGCGGTTGAACATTTATAAAAGATAAATTAATAAAACTTTTTTGTTGAATAAATCATATGTGTGGAAGGAGTTTATTTTCAATACATTTTTTAATTCAGTGGTGCAATTTTATTCTTAAGACTACCCGTGGTGGGGCACCCCAGTGGCACAGCTGTATGTCTGCGGATTTACAACGCTAGAAACCGGGTTTCGAGATACCAGTGGTGGGCAGAGCACAGATAGCCCATTGTGTAGCTTTGTGCATAACTTCAAACAAACAAACAAAACCCGTGGTGGGTGGAGAACAGATAGCCCATTATGTAGGTTTGTGCTTAAATGAAAAAAACTAATAAAATAAGGACGAATGTATCTATCTGGACGTGGTGCAATTAATTTCAGGAACATGAATCAAAACATGATGTGTTATCTGAATGATGGCAAAGGTGTTGATCTGGTGTATTTCCATATTCTATAAGTTTTTGATGAGGTACTACAAAGTATCACAATCACATCAGTGGGGGTGGGAGTAAGACTAGTAAACTGGACTATTAAAACTGAGGAAAGAATGACAATAGAACTGTTATTACAATAATAACTGAAGAACGAATGACATTAGCACTATGTTACAAAAAGAACAGAGGAAAGAATGACAATAGTACTGATATTCCAATAATAACTGAGGAAAAATGACAATAGCACGTATATTACAATAATAACCGAGGAAAGAATGACAATAGCACTGACAATACAATAATAAAGGAGGAGAGCAATACAAAAGCATTGACATTACAATAATAACTGAGGAAAGAATGGCAATAGCACTGATATTACAATAATAAGTGGGAAAAGAATGAAAATTGCTCTGATATTAAAATAAGAACTGAGTAAAGAATGACAATAGCAATGATATTAGAATAATAAGTGAGGAAAGAATGAAAATGGATTTCTTTCAAACTGGACTCTTGTTACTATTGGAGTTTCTTAGTGGTCGATGCCTGGGCGTTTGCTTTTTCTTATTTGTGTAAATGACATTATAGGTGAGTAATTTAATCAATTAAGACAGCCGCTGTTATTTAAGTATTTCTAGAGGTATTGAGGATGTTGAGATGGTACAGAATGATGTCGAACAATAGTTTAGTGGTAGGTACGGTGACAAGCGTTTTGTGGTCTTATAATGGAGCCGGGCACTGGTTGGCATTGTTTATGATTAGAACTAAGGCGGTATCAAATAAGATTTCAGGTTGTGTCTACAGAAATATTGAGTATAAGTCTAAAGAAGCTATAATTTCAATGTATATGTCATTGGTTAGGCCACGTTTGGAGTATTGTGTTAGTCTTTGGTTCCTTACCTGAGGAAGAACATTAAGTTCTTGAAGAAGGTTCAGAGAAGGGCTACTAGGATGATACCCGGAATGAAAAGGTACTAATATGAGGACAGGTTAAGATCTATGAGAGAGGATCTGATTTAAGTGTTTACGAATGTCAAAGGAACTGATAGTATTGATGGATCATTTTTTTCGTATATAATGGGACACAAATATAATTTGGGTAGGGAAGGAATAATTTTCAGCTACAAACTACTTCATTTCTCTAACAGGGTGACTGGCTTTTGGAATAGGTTGCCTTCAGATGTGGTGGATGCAGTTAATTTGAGATAGTTTAAGGGAAGGCTTGAAAAATATTTCAATGCTAAATGTTAGCTTTGTGTGTTTTATCTTTATTTTAAAGTTTAGTTTAGTGGATGGGACAGCCTAGATGAACGAACAGGTCCCTTGTTGTCCATAAATTATACACACACACATATATATGTTATATGCGTGTTATTAGAGTGTCTAACTATCTGATACTTGTCAAGAAATAAGTTTACACCTGAAATTACCTCATAGCGGAAGCCTTATAAAGAACCAAATGGTGTTTAGTTGTTTGAAAGTTATACTATTTGTTAGGACATGCATTCACACAGATAAAAATCCTAATCCCTTTTTAAAACTTTTAATGCATATATAAATATTCTATGCGATTTTTTATTGAACCATATATCTAACAATGATTATTCATGAAAGAAGATTAACCTTATAATAAATTACAAAAATTATGTACTTTCGAAAAAATAATAAAACAGGAATAGTTTTATATTAAATTATTTTATATTTTATCAAATATACACGTAGTAAACCAATAGATGTCACTATAAAATGACTGATAAATTGCGTTTGGAGTACAATGAAGATGCAGCTCTTGTTGAAAAGAAAGTGTGCTATTCTAAATATAATATATGTACAACATGAGAATTAAAGATATGTAGTAACTTTAATCATTGGTTATTTTAAACTTTTATGTTTTACACTGCCAAATCACGACGTCGCCGGAAAGCCAAGGTACTTTAGTTTAAGAAGTTATCTTTAATTCTGTTCCTTTGGTTATTATCACGTTTCTTGTTTGTAAAATACTGATTTTTTTTCGATTTATTATTTGTAATTGACATTTAATAGCTAAATAAGTAATGATAAGTTATAGTTCAGCCTAATTGTCACTGTCAGTAAAATAATAATAATAAATACCACTGAGTGTAACCAATTACACAAACACGAGACAGCATTTCTTTTAATTAGTTTTTCTGAAGAATGTCTTCTAAACAACTTTTTGTAACGTGTTATTTTATTGATAAGTTAGTGCCATTATCAGTGATTTATGTACTAGTCCAGTTTCAGTAAGTCCAACAAATGTAATATGCTCTCATAGATGATTCTACATAGTAATGATGGATTCTGTATGCTACAGAGCTCAGAAGCTAACTCCAAAAATAAACCCAATAAATATTTTAATTGATAATGAAACTAAACTGTGGTTGTTGAATTTTACAGTCACATTAACAATGGTTATATTAAAAAATAATTTCATTATACACATGCGTATGTATGTATGTAGTTAATACGTTGTCTTGTTTAATCACTGCATTGTTAAAAGAAAGATAGTAATATCTTAACATGTATTATAATTTTGACTTGTGTTTTTTTTTGTATTGTGTTAGATATACATCTGTGAATTATGTCTTCTGTGTGTGTATGTATGTATATTTATATCTTTGCCGTAGATTCCACATCTTGGGGAATGTGTTCTTTACCCACAGTCCTCCAGAGCATCAAAATGTTCCTGAATAATTCTGTTCCTACTGATCTTCTACAAGTTTACCATCTTAGTAAGTGAAAATCTTGTTATGCAAATTAAACAGTTATTTGTGTGTGAATTTGTTTTAGATAAACATTAACAGTGAGTGTGTTGTTATACAGATTACTGTTATTATTAACATGTAAGTTTGTCACAAAATTCAAATTTATTGAATATGTATTTCTATGCAGATACATGGAACAAGTGCCAGATATATATTGTACTAACAGAGTGATTAGTATATAAAATAAGTTGATATTGGATGTAGTAGAGGCTAACACTTTACAAGAGTTGAAGAGAGAAACAAATAATTTCTTGAAAAATAAAGGATGGATTTAATTTTTTTTTACTTTTTCTCAGGGATGCAGAGACAATCTTGAAGGACCAAATGATCTATTGCTGTCCATAAGGCTATCTTAAACATGTTTACTTACAGACAGATAATGTACATGCATTACGAGATTGTTCTGTTGTGTTTAAATATTAACTGTAACAAACAAGTTATAAATAGTTATAGATTAATTTTGATTTAGTTATATATGCTCGTGGATTGTACACGATAAATTAAAGGCTGTTTTTGCTTCTTCAACATTTCATCTGTAGTACATATACATTTTGTTCAGTTATTGCACTATGTACCTTACAGACTTTTGTAAAACACAATCTTGTTGAAAGAGATCTTTAGACTAATATTTCATATGTTCTGCCTGATTAAGAGATGCTAAAAGTGCTAGAAAAATATACTGGACAAAAAATAATTAGCAAACATGTGTTTGTAGAAAAAGGAGCGTACCTAATATTGTAGAATAATGGTCTTCGTTAGTTTTAGGTCAGTTGTTAATTTAAAATAATATTAAATGATTTACAAATGTATTCCTTGTTTCTGAACAGATCTAATAAGTGTTTCATTCAAAATAGTTTGTTAAAAAATAGGGAATGATACATATAAAACATTTAATAAAAGCATATATGTTTGTATTAAAAAAAATGTTATCTTTGTAATCTGCACCATCTTCTCATTGTGGGATTATTGCTATGTAGCGAGATGAGCAAAGGTTTCTGAGGTTAACATTTTTCCTCACTTGAGAATGTATTTCAGATAATTACTGACTTCTTCACAACCTCTCGCCCTTCCTCCCCACTTCCAGTGTATTTGTTTTGCCTCATTCGAGAATGAGCCTTTCTTAAAATGCTAGAACTCGTGAGAATTACTGTACGTGGAGGATGTGTTGCCCTCTAATTGGTGGAGGGCTGTAGTCTAATGATGACTGTTCCAATACATGTTAGTATTTGTAGGGATGATAGCTCATTCAAGACTTGTAAACATCTTCATGGCAGTGGTGTGAGGTTATAGCTCTTTGTTATGTAGAAAGGTAACTGTGGAACAGAGAACATTTATTTCTGAATTTATTGATTGGGTTTATTTCCCACTGTAACATGTAACTTTGTCAGTCAAATGGGATTCTAGTAGCCATTGTTTGTACGTAGCAGATGTTCAAGGCTACCTTGATGCTCTGAATCACGAGGAAATAATTTTGTTAACATAACTTCCAAGCAGGTTATATATATGTCACAAATTAATCATTTTGTTTAATTTAATATTTATTAAGTAAGAATACCTGAATGAAAGGACAACTATTAATATATATATTTTTTTTCACATGTTTTGCAGCTAAACTTGTGACTCCAGATATTCTATTAGCAGTTGGAATTGGATTAGTCGTGTTCCTGTTCACATGGATGGTTGTCTACTTAGATAGCAGCCAGCCTGGAGTTGAGCCTCCTTCACCACTTTCTCCAAGAAAAATCAGGTCTCTTTGTAGTTGTGTGTTCATCAGGAATCCATTTTCAGGGATTTTAGTCTAAAGTTTAATCATAATACTTAATTTTCTGAGACAGAGTCTAAAGTGATAATTGTTATTTTTTGTTTGATTTATAATTTGAGTCAGACTTTAAGTTGTACTTATCAAGTTCTTGCACTGCCTGATACACATAGAATGATTGTATGCTTGGTTAATGGCAGTAGCACACTAAAATGTAGTCTACAAGTAGTGTGAAGGAATATGTTATTTGAAAGCTTACGGAACAATTGAATGTAGAACATGAGGAATTTATCAAAATATGCAAGTATAATCTTCTTAAAATTTCAAATATGAAAGTAACTAAGTTATATGTCGGAGAAATTAAAGATTTAAGCGTGAAAGGAGATGAAACTTTAGATTTGCCAAAACATGCGTTCTATTTTAGCAGTGTTTTTCAGTAGCCTAATGTATTAAGTTTGGTTGAAAACTTTAGCTTATTGTAATGTATTAGTGGAAGGTCTTACTCTTAGGCTTACATATACTGAAATAAAGATCGTTTGCCCTTAACTAAACATTTATTTTCCTAATAAAGTAACTGAAAGCTATGAAATATCAGGATCTCATGGCAGTTGGGTTTTCTTTATGCCACAAATATCATGTTTGTGCATTTTAAGTTGTATTATATTAAGTTTTGTGATGCTATGTGGGATAATTCCTGGTATAACATTAAAATAAAGATATTAAGTTATGTATTAATTTTTTAACTTAAAACTTTTAATTTTGTTTCTTTTCTTTAGGATGTCTTCCGGACACTCGTATCATATTGGATATATTATGGCTGTCGTAAATGGACTTTTGTTTTTGGCTCTTGCACTTGCCTGGTGAGAAACGTGGCACTGTAGGTGCCAATCAAGATGTGACCTCCACCTTATTAGAGGTGAAAGCTTGGGGTATTGACTTACTCTGGTTGTATTATTTACAAAGCATAAACATTCCAAAAAGTATACTTTAAAAAAGTTAAAAGCAATGTCCTATGAATTTGCCAGCTAGTATCAAGTTGGACATTTACTAGTGTTCAAGAAGTTGCATGTATGTTAGAGCAAACACTGGTTGGAGTTATCCTCTTGTTTAAGTTTTTCGCAAAATATTTTAAAATAATTGAAAAAATTAGGTTTAAAAAAAGAGAACCCCAAAAGTTGCATAAAAAAACGTGTTTGTAAAACAAATTGTTGTTTGTGGCCAGTTGAAACCTTTTTTTTTTTACTAATATTTCTAATATGTAGCACATTTGTAATAAGAGATGTATGGTTTTGGAAATTTCGCATTAGATTGGTTTTCGTTTTTTTTTAAGGGTAACTGGTAACATTAGGAAAAATATTTATTATTCACATACGTACATACATACTCTGGATACTATCAGTTGGTCTTTAATATAACAGTTATTATTATTTTAGACACTTTTCATTATATTTGTATTTTGGAAATGAAGGTAACAAAGATGATATATTTTTCTGATGGATTTTATTGAAAATAATCAACTTTATCTGCAAAGTGTTTATTAAATAATAACATACAAATATTTGTAATAAAATATATTGTAAAAAAACTTCAACTTGGAACAAATCGTAAGATTACTAACAAAGTACAGTGAAATATATAATTCTTCAATATTTTATGGATACAGTATTGACTGTATATGAAGACTAGTAAAACAAAAACAGCTTTGGACTTTTAGCAGTGCTTTGCCAACATGTTTATCACTTATGTTTTTCTCTTAAGTGATCAGCTGTTTGCCCAGTCTGATGTGATTGGAAGAGAGATTGCAAATTAGCAAGTTTTTATGAACTACCAAAAGAATGGAAACTTTGACATATCCAGAAAAGTTTATAAAACCGCTTTACATTTCTTACAACACCTATATTAAAATCGAGTACATATTCCTAATTTCTACCAATTCTCTGGTATTTATTGT